CTTCCCATCTTTAAGGATTTATCCACCTGTCGACTTTGTAGTTGCTGGCTTTCAGATTGGGTCTCAAATCTTTCAGATTGACATTCTGTTTGTTGATGATGAGGTTATTTCTGTTTCTTGGTTTTCCTTCTGACAGTCTGGCCCCCCTGCTGTAGGTCTGCTGAGGTTCACTCCAGGCCCTGCTTGCCTGGGGTTCACCTGCAGCAGCTGCTCAACAGTAAGGGTTGTTACCAGTTTTCTTCTTCTGCTATCTTTGTCCCAGAAGGATACCTGCCTAGTGTCTATCTGATCTCTTCTTTATCAGGTGGTTCTTTGGATATATAGGGGTCAGGGAGCTGCTTGAGGAGACGGTCTCTTCTTTATAGGAGCTCAAATGGTGAGCTGTGAGCTCTGTTGTTGTTCAGTCAGAGCTGCTGGGCAGGTACGTTTAGGTCTGCTGCAGCAGAACTCATAAACTGCTTTTTGTTCCCAGGTGCTCTGTCCCAGGGATTTAGGGCTTTATTTATGAGTTTCCGTTATGCTGCTGCCTTCTTTTTTTTATCCTTCAGACCTGCCCAGCCCAGCAAGGAGGCAGCCCAGTCACTGTCGGCCTGTAGAGGCTTTGCTGAGCTGCTGTGGGCTCCGCCCAGCTGCTGAGTGAACTTCCCTGCAGTCCTGTTTATATGGGTGTAGTTAGAACTGCTTTGGTGATGGTGGCCCGCCTCTATTGAGGCAGAGTCTCTCTGCTGTGGCGAGTTGCCTCGGCAATGGTGGGCTGCCTCAGCATTGGCTGACTTCCTCCGTCCTGGCGGGCTGCCTCGCTAATGGCGGACGCCCCTCCCCCACAGAGCTGTACTGTCTCGGGTTCAGCTGCGCTTGCTGTGAAAGTCTCAATCCAGAGTTTCTGGTTGCTGTTCTTTTGTGGGGGTGGGACCAGCCGAGCCTGATCGCCTGGCTCCCTGCCTCAGAGCCTTTTTTACGTTGGTGTTCCAGTTGCCTGTTGAAGAGGCGCCGGGGTCTGTTTGTTTTCCCCTGTGGCCACTCACTGCGCTAGCTTAAACAGCGGCACTGAGGTTTGTGGTGTTTTTTTTTTTTTTTTTTTTTTGCCCTGGAATCTACTGTCCTGGTTCTCTGCTCAGTCCCCTTTTTAAACAGACAAATGGGAGACTTCCCATGGCTCCAATCGCCAGCCAAAAGGGCATCCAGACCAGTGTATTTTGTACGGAGAACCGCTGCTCCGGGGCACCGACAAAGCAGTCGCGCGGGGCAAAGCAGTGGCGCCGGCTGGCACAGCCGCGCTGGCCGAAACAGCCGCGCAGGTCACCTGTGGAGCTCCTCCACCTGGGAACTGCCTAGTCTGTGGGCAATAAAAATGCGGCGTCCACTCACCCTCTGCTTTCTCTGGGAGCTGCAATCCTGAGCTGTTCCTATACGGCCATCTTGGATCCTCCTGCAGCACTATTTAAAAAACCCTTTTTTTTTTCTTAAGGTCCTGGCTCTGTCACCCAGACTGGAGTGGAGTGGTCCAATCTCCACTGACTGCAACCTCCACCTCCCAGGCTCAAGCAGTCCTCCCACCTCAGCCTCCTGAGCTAACTGGGATTACAGGTGCAAGCCACACCTGGCTAATTTTTTATTTTTGTATTTATTTTTTTTAGAGATGATGTTTTGCCATGTTGCCCAGGCTGGTCTCCAACTCCTGAGCTCCAGCAGTCTGCCCACCTCGGCCTTCCAAGGTGCTGGGATTACAGGTGTGAGCCACTGCACCTGGCCCATGAGAATGGAAAATGTCTTTCAATGAGAGATTCTAAGGACTAATAGAAATTTGACAGACCTCAGCCAGGCATGGTGGTGGGTGCCTGTCAAGAGGCCAAGGCAAGAGAATTGCTTGAACCCAGGAGGCGGAGGGTGCAGTGAGCTGACACCACTGCATTCCAGCCTGAGTGAAAGAGCAACACTCCATCTCAAAAAGAGAAGGAAAAAAAGAATACTATACAGCCAGTATAAATCATACTGTAATTTTTATTAAAATGGAAAACTCACTACATCAAGTGAAAATGAAAGGTTACAACATAGTTATGTGCAGTTTGCTTGGTATTAGTTGTTACCTTTAGTAGGAGTACAGGTGATTTTTCTCCTTTTTTCAGTCTCTTCTCTTACACATTTTATTTGCTAAAGTTTTTCTAATTTCTTACAATAATCACGTAATTAGGGGAAAATGCTATTAAAGTATATGCTTATAGCTAACTCTAAGCTTGCTTTAGAGCTTGGATATTACATAATCATGATGCTAGTGACTTTGGTACAAATCCAAGTAATAACTGAACATGTTCATAAGGGATTATAATGAAAAGTCACCATTTCCCAGGAACCTTAATAATAAAATGTTAAAGACATCATTTTGTTTATCAAAAGAATTTATTAGAAAATATTACACACTATATATTTATTTAAGAGTATAATTTCAGTAGACAGCACTCCAACTTCGTAATACAGACAATATAGCATAGACCCTGGGGCAACTACTGTGCTTCTGAAACTACATCTTTTGGATGGAACACTTAACCAGTATATACTGTGGCCATTTAAAGGACACTAAGAGAAAAAATGTGGTAATTACCAAAACAAATTGTAAAAAGCACAAAACTTTTGGAATGTTAATGGATAACTATTAGTCTCAAAATTCTAGGCATTTCTGTAAAACATCGGTCAATGTGATAGTAAGTTAAAGGGACCAAGGTTTCAAAGATCAAGTCAGTACTGAACCTTTAGAAATATTACAAGAGGAAATGTAATCACACAAAATGTTCCTAATTAAGTTTGTGCACATGCAAAATTAAATTTCTCAAAGAACTCAAGAATAAGGAATGATAAAGCAATATATTTTTTCAACATCATGCATTTTCTAATACATTAATCTTAAACATTTCAAAATTTTAAAAGTTCGAATTCTAATCAAGTAACACCTTTCTATAGCTATTAATGCAGTCTAACCAGTGCCCCAATCAGATATGAAACACACATTTGTTATTTTCATGGAAATAATTCATGGGAGTGCTACTAAAGATATATGAGACCTCAAATCGGCCAGGCGTGGTGGCTCACGTCTGTAATCCCAGCACTTTGGGAGGCCGAGGTGGGCAGATCACAAGGTCAGGAGTTCAAGACCAGCCTGGCCAATATGGTGACACTCCCCCATCTCTACTAAAAATACAAAAATTAGCCCGGCATGGGGGTGGGTGCCTGTAATCCCAGCTACTCGGGAGGCTGAGGCAGGAGAATTGCTCGAATCCGGGAGGCGGAGGTTGCAGTGAGCCGAGAAGATGGCCACTGCACTCCAGCCTGGCAACAGAGCGTGACTCCATCTCAACAACAGCAACAAAAAATGACATATGAGACTTCAACTCTTGACCACACCACTTCTTTTTCTCCAGAACTTTCAAACTTGTTTGCAAAAGCTAAATGGTATAAAACACATTTTAAAAAGTCACTCGAAAGAAAATGCAGTAAAAGTACAGATTGTGTGATTAATCAGCTTAGGCACAGCAATTTGCTGCAAAAATTTCAAAGTATGAACTAACCTTAACTCAAAAAAAGTCTACAAAATTGTTTCTAGGGTTCTGAACTAAAACAACTAAGAAGGTGTGCCTTCATATGCCAAAACACTGTCTTAATATTTTATTAGAAGAAATAGGCTTGAAACTTCTCTATCATAATCTAAACACAAACTTTAAAAATATATACACCAGTAGAATACCATATTACAAATGCCCAGAAACGTAGAATGAAGATCAAAAACTGCTTGGAAATATTTTTATGATTATACTCACAACGAAGCTTAGGAACTAGCACAATCATTATGGGGCGAATATTTTGAAATATTATGCCTATCAAAGCTAGCACCAGGAAAAGTATTATGCACATAAAATTGACAAACAAATAATCTTTACTTTAGAAAAGCACAGCTCTAGAGTATTGCTCTGGCTAGAGTTTAGCTAGTAAAAGGGTCAGTTTATCTCACTGAGGCATGTATCTCCTTGGATCCATTAACAACTTATCTGAAGAGCTTTCCAGTTACTTGGTAGGTATTAAAAATTTTTACTGGAATCAGAGTTTATCATGGAGAAAACTCCGTTCTTTCAAGATGCCAGTTAAAATAATGGCATGATAAACGTTTTAAACTTACCTTTTAGAAAACCTGACATATTCTAGTACTTATTAAAAACAAACAAACAAAACCCAAATCCTTAGTCCCTGAAAGAAGGAACTTCATTATCCAAATTAATTATTTAATCTTCCCCTCTCTTTCTAACACACAAGTTTTACTGTCTAGAATTTTGCAACATGGCTAATGGCTACCATATGGTCATCAAATTAAGGCTACATTCATTGTAAAGCATCTGGGATTTTCAAGTGTGAAAATAATTTCATCAGTGATTAAAAAACAACTTGAAGCCAATGCCGTGGAGTCTTATAAATTCTTAGTCCCAAGGAAGGGGGGTAACACTTAACAGGAATTCTCCAATTGGTACAAACAATTTATCATCTATGATGGGTTTTATGTAGAAATTATGAAAGAACATCATAATTTCTACAAAATCAACACTTTTTTTTTTCCTGCTCCTGTTGCCCAGGCTAGAGTGCACTGGTGTGGTCTCTGCTCACTGCAACCTCTGTCTCCTGGGTTCAAGCGATTCTCCTGCCTCAGCCTCCCAAGTAGCTGGGATTACAGGTGTGCACTACCACGCCTGGCTAAAATTTTTGTATTTTTAGTAGAGACAGGGTTTCGCCACGTTGACCAGGCTGCTCTTGATCTCCCGACCTCAGGTGATCCACCCGCCTTGGCCTCCCAAAGTGCTGGGATTACAGGCGTGAGCTATCATGCCTGGCTGAAAGTCAACACTTCTTCCAAATCTTTTTCCTCAAAGTCTTCAACAAAGACTTTGAACTGCCGAAGTTGTATCTAGTAAGTCAAATTGCTTACCTCAATTAGGGGGTTAAAAAAAAAGGCACAAAAGAAAAACAAGCAGCATAACCTTTATTTGGTCATACAATAGGTGAAGAGTGTCTGAACATTTTGAACACTAAATTTCACTCGTGATAATTTTTTTTCTATCTAGGTGATTTATTCTGATATGTGCTTTAAAAATACACATTAGGAACCCTGCAATTGATATGTTCTATTTAATATTAGAAATATTTTTCATTGTAATACATTATTTAACTTTCTATAATTAGAGGGAAAAATCATAAAGATATTTTATATTTTAACCTGACAGAATAAATGCATTATATATAATCTCTTCTAAACCAGTGCACTTAGCAGTTTCTAATTTATGCACTCCATTGCTCTAATCAGAAAGCTATACATCTTCCAGTATCCACACTATAATACAGTCCTAGTAAAGATGCACATTCCTTTAAACCCTTTACTTTCCCTTGAATTTTGTCAGGGAGGGTGGAGGGGAAGGAAGGATACAGAAGTTGCAGTGCAGAACTATATTTATTTAGAACAAAACATCATATCCTATGTTAAAAAAATAATTTTATCAAAACCAAATTTCAATCACAGTTATGCATGATTTTCAGTTAATGGTACATGTTGAAATTGCACTTTGCAGATATCCTGATAATGTCCTTTACAGCGTTCCCCATTTCAGCCTATGTTTTTTTCAGTAGACACAGGTTCTTCCAGAGTTTTCTTTTGGCTCCCCTTCCGTGAATATTTGTATTTGTCTACATAGGCTTTAACCAGATTTGCCACTTTAGTAGAATTTACTTCTCCACTCTTACTATGACAAACCTAAGAAAAAAACGAGGGCGGGGACGGTAAACTTTTTTCATACTTCAAGGATTAAAGCCAAAATAGAAAGCTTTGTGAAAAACAACCACAAAGAGATAAACAGACTTATTTTCATATTTCATTATCTTATACAAACTATTCAAAAGGCAAAAGGCAGACAAGAATTAGTAGAAGCTAGCTTTTATTATTTTAATTAAACCTCAGCATTCATGTATTAAAACAGGTGGTTCAAAACAATATGCATACATTTCACTAAAGCCATAACTTACTTTATCTACTGCTTTCCGTACAATTTCTTTATATTCTTCCTTGGTGATATCTTTATTTTGGTAAAATGGCTTAATGGCCAATTTTACCTCTTGTGCTGCTTTTTCTTGAATCTGCAATTTCTGATAAGAAGAAAATGTATAATTTGTTATTTACAAATCATATACTCTCACAGAATTCCAAAAAAGAAACTGAAATACTTGACATTTACAATAAGAAACTCTCCAACTATTCATGTGACAAATATAAAACAGTTTATTTACTAAAACATATCAAACATTTCTGAAAACAATTATAAAATACTACCAGTAAGTTACTGGACATCAACACATCTAGACAGAATCCTTCAAATAATACTGGCATTCAGACTGCCAATAAGAAATTCCTTTCACCACTCATACAATAAAAAGCTGACATTTTTTCACCATTATAAAACATACAGAATTATGGAGGTTGCTCTCAACCTTGAACTTGCCTTGTCTGTCTTCGAGCTATCTGCGCTGGCTTCCACTGTAACACTTACTTTGCTTTCTGCCAATTTTACAGCAGCATTAGAGGCTTTGCTGTGACTTGATGACGAAGTATTACCAGAACTTGGTCCCTGAACCGTTCCCGTATTTCCTGGGGCTGCTGTCGGAGCAGGCAAAACTGGTGTACTCATGTTATTACTTACATGAGAAGAACTAGGAATACCCTGTTTTAAAGAGTTATCAGTTAATGAATTACTTGTACTCGATGGATGTCTTTTAGTGATGTATTAGAAATAACATTAAAAAACACAAAGTGAACCAACCTTAGGACTAAAGAAAAATGCATATTTCAGGTCATTTATATCTAAAGGGCTCTTTAAAGAAAACTGAGTAACACTCTTAAACAGGGCCTTATTTATATATTGTCAACATGACTTTAAAATTTTATATATATGTATTATAACATTCTGACAGCAACACTAAAAAGAAGGAGAAGGAGAACAGTATTTAAAGAATCATATCGGCCGGGCATGGTGGCTCACGCCTGTAATCCCAGAACTTTGGGAGGCCGAGGCGGGTGATCACCTGAGGTCAGGAGTTCAGGACCAGCCTGGCAAACATGGTGAAACCCAGTCTCTACTAAAAGTACAAAAATTAGCCAGGCATGGTGGTGCATGCCTGTAATCCCAGCTAGTTGGGAGGCTGGGGAGAATCACTTGAAACTGGGAGGCAGAGGTTGCAGTGAGCCGAGATCATGCCACTGTACTCCAGCAAGAGTCAGACCCTGTCTCAAAACTACAATACAATACAATACAAAACAAAAAGAACTGTATCTTTCCTGCAAGAATCTTTAGGAATATTAATGAAAATAAGTGTGCCCACTTTAAAGATTGGAAAAAATGAGGTAGTAAAGTCAAATGGCTTGCAGTAAATTGATAGAACAAGATTAAGATCCCAAATACTAAGATCCAATTTCCCCATTCTTCAATTCTATTTTACTGTCAGGATTCTAATTTTTTTTTTTTTTTTTTTTTGAGACAGAGTTTCACTCTTGTTGCCCAGACTGGAGTGCAATGGCGCTATCTCAGCTCACTGCAACCTCCGCCTCCTGGGTTCAAGTGGTTCTGCTGCCTCAGCCTCCCGAGTAGCTGGGATTACACACATGCGCCCCCAAGGCCCAGCTAATTTTGTATTTTTAGTAGAGATGGGGTTTTTCCATGTTGGTTGGGCTGATCTCAAACTCCGGACCTCAGGTTATCTGCCCACCTCGGCATCCCAAAGTCCTGGGATTACAGGCATGAGCCACTGTGCCCGGCCTAATTTTTTTTTTTTTGAGACAGAGCCTTACTCTGGATTCCTGCCAGGCTGGAATACAGTGGCACGATCTTGGCTCACTGCAACCTCCCACTCCCAGTCAAGTGATTCTCCTGCCTCAGCCTCAAGTAGCTGGGATTACAGGCGCACACCACCATGCCTGGCTAATTTTTGTACTTTTAGTAGAGACAGGGATTTGCCATGTTGGCCAGGCTGGTCACGAACTCCTGACCCCAACTGATCCACCCAACTTGGCCTCCCAAAGTGCTGGGATAACAGGCGTGAGTCACCGTGCCCGGCCTAGGGTTCTAAACTTTTGGAAAGGCAGACATAAAATTATATGCAACACAATGTTTGCAAATTATTCAAATTTTCTGTGGCTCATACAGGCACTTCTCCTTTCTTTTTAGCATGATAAATTCATGAAAATGAAACACAGATGGTAATGGATAATGAACAGCTTTATCTAGTGTTTCTCCAAACAAGACAATAAACCTTCATCACAGTGCTTAATCACTAGTTCCCACCGCCCCATATGGGTTAAACAATGCAAAATGGGAAAAATGTAAAGCATCAACCACTTGATTCCAATTTGGCTTATTCAATGTGAAAATAAAATCCTGTTCAGATATAAATAACAGCATATATGTAGCCTGGATTTGGTAATATGTATTCAATTGATTTTCTAATTTGGGAGTTGGAGTGTTTTGAGAAGGACAGTGAAAGAGGGATTATGAAGGTTTACCATAACTAAAATAAACAATTGTTTTTGGAGGCCAGGATGCCTTTTTTTGGACATCTGTCCTGAACAGCTAAATGTTTACAATGGCTATATTGATTAAACTTGAGTTGCTAAAAACATACCTGCAACTGCTTTCCATCTGGTTGTGAAGCAATGTAGTTGACTTGTTGGGATGGTGGGGGAGGGGGTGGCGGTGGTGGTAGTCCCTGAGATACACTGGTAGGAGCGGCTACCTGCATGACGGGCACTCCTGTGTGGAGATGCAAGGGTAGCTGAGGATGAATGTTAAATGGATTGCGTTGGATGTTCATCAAAGGAGCATGAACACCCACTGGATATGGGAAGATATTCATAGGCTGGTGTTGTGCATTCATTTGTTGTTGCATTACATTCATTTGTGGTTGCATCATATTTATAGGTAGCTGAGAACCATCAACTTGCTGGTTTGTTTGGTCTTTTAGGCTAGAATCTATCAAAAGAAAAAAAGCTTGTGAAAAAACTCATGTTACAAATCTCTTTACACAGAGAAACAACGAACCACTGGTTACAATAAAATTAAACAGCAATTAAGAGGCTCAATACACCAATACCAATCTCCAATTGTTTAATTTAATCCTGTCATTTCTAAATAATGTGGACTGATTTTCTAAATGAAAGAAAACATTCAACTGAAAATATTTTTAAGAATAAGTTTATGCAAAAACATATAACAACAATCAGTAGCTCAAGAAACTGACTAGTTAAAAAAAATCACATAAAACTTAGTTACTAAATTATAAGATTATTCAATTTTTATATCTTCAACAGCCTTTTTCTTGCAATGTTCTTAGCAAGAAAAAAAAGAAAGATAAATCTTTATTATTAAAACAATGGCTTATTTTATTTCTATAAGAACAATGATCAAAAAAATTAAAAGCGCACATATCTGAAATAAACAAATTAGTTGTTGAATCCTGCATAGGAATATCCCAAACTATTCTATTGTAGCAAACAGTGCTGAAAATATTTAAGTCTTTGGCAAGGTTTGGAGCAGAGATAGGGTTAAAAATATACTGATGTAGATAAATGTACATGTATATATATTTATATAATGCAAAGTGACTTGTAAACAACTAGGGTTCAGCTTAACATTATAAAAACTACAAATAAGGATCATTTCAACTCATATTAAAAACATTAAATTTATAATTCTTCAAATAAAACAGTATCAATAAACAAAAAAGAATACATTACCCTGTCCAGATGTTTCCTCCTCTTGTCTCATCCATCCAGACTGTGGACCTGAAGAATTTCTGCCTCGTCGCGAGTAGTAGTTTTGTACATCTGCTGGCAAAGTCTTTCTCACAGCCCAGCTAGATGCAGATGTCCACCCAGATCTATCTGCTGGTGTATCAAATGAGAACTCTTGTTCACTTTTCCGCTTATAGGACTGCTGTTCCACAAACTTGAAAGATTCACTCCCCGAACTGTTTGAATTCCCTGAGAGGGGCTTTCGATTTTGCCACCTATTTTCATTCTGATTTGCGTAGGCAAAACTATTTCTGTAAGTGCCTCTACCACGGTTGCCTCTGCCTCTACCACGGTTAGATACCCAACCAGAACCAAAGTTTTTATTCCAAGAATTTCCTGAATTTTCATTTCTTTTTTCTTCCCAATGAGACTCTTTCAACTTTTCTGGATTTCTGGTTCTTGGATCAGGCCCAGAGTTTATTTTTTCTGTTATCCAACTGGGACAGTCATTCCTATGTCTGTCAGCAGAATTTGGATCATCAGCATCTAGGTGGATGTCATTTTTTTCTTTTCTTGTATTTTCATTCTGTTTCTCTGGGTCATTCTTTCTGTACCGATCATTTCCTCGTGGACATCTCCAACCATCATTTGCCCATCTTCCCTTCCAGCGGGGAGCGTAACTATCTCTGTCATTTCTACCAAATGATGAACTCTTACTTTTTGTTCTACATCTTGAGGGGGACCTAGAATGAGATCTGGACCTAGACCACTTTCTGGTTCTCTTTTCTCTCTCTCTCCTCTGCCCATCTCTATCACTTTCTCTTTCTCTGCTCTGGGACCTGGATTTTTCTCCTGGGGAGGAATCTTTCTCTCTTGGTTGAGATCTTTTGTTCTCTCTCAAAGTATCTCTTCTTGGGGACAGTGATTCAGATCTTCTGCTTTCCTTAGTATTATCCCTTTTTGGAGACTGAGACTGAGATTGCCTCCTTTCTCTTGCAATATCCTTTTTTGGGGACTGAGAACGGGATTTTTTCCGGCCTCTGGCAGACTCATTCTTAGGAGATGGTGATTCAGACTTCTTGCTTTCTTTCCTAATTTCTCTTCTGGGAGATGGAGACTGGGGCCGCTTCTTTTCTTGTGGAGTGTCTTTGTTGGGAGACCAAGTTGTAGATGGAGAATGAAATCTAGATCTTCGAGTACGAGGCTTTTTGACTTTGTCTACAGTATCTATTGGGCATTTAGATGGTTGAGATATAGTTTCAACCTTTTCATCTGCAAGATCTGAAGACGACATATTATTTTCAGAACTGTGTATCACAGAATTTTCATTTATTTGTTTAAGATCAGCATTTACAGATGGTTCAACTTCAGATTCATTTTGGTCACCGCAAAATGAATCACACTCCATAGGTATCATTTCATTGTTGTCCTCGTTAAAATGCTTCTCAATCTGATTAACGTGTGTTTTAGGCAACTCTGTAGATCTGGGATGTTCGATGAGTGATTCATTCTTTTCTTCTAAAGGTTTTTCCAGTTTGGTGTTCAAAAGATTATTTTTTAATAAATTATTTTCAGAGTCTTGAATATTATTTAAATCTTCATTCCCAGATGTATCACATGTTGCAATTATTTCTGCATCTTCAGTTTCAACATGCTCAAGCAATTGAACCTCTGGGCTCATAATAGATCTTCTGCCCACTGTTTGTATAATTTCATCCTCAGAAGATTCTAACTTGGGGCTCTCTATAAGCTCCTCTGTTTTTAGTGTAGAATCTTTATGTTCAGTAATTTCTACTATGGAGCTCTCTCTCATTTTTTCTTCATTAACCACTGACTCTACATTCTCAGATAACTCACTTACAGGACTAGATACAGGTTGGTGTACTTTGCTTTCAGATGTTAAACATGTAGGAAAATCATTTGGAAGATGAACTGTACATACATCTGCCTTTACCTCTGATTCTGAAAATCCAGATATCTGGTCTTGCTTTTCCAATGGATCACTTCCTTTTTCAAAAATATTTTTAGAAATCTCACTTTCCACACACAAAACTTTAGCCTCTATACCTGTATTCTCAAGTTTTTGAAATTTGCCTTCCTCACCAACTAGCACAGGAGGATCTTGAGCACAAGACTCAGAAGATGAAGATTCTACTCTTTCCTCTGTATCATGATTTGCAGTCTGTTTCTCACTTTCTTCTGTTTGCTCATTGCAACTTTTCAAACAGTTAGACTGGTTTTCTGTATGTGTCTGCAGAGTACAAATGTTACTACTGTCTACATCTGATTGGTGCTCTTTTTCTAACACAGGTGATGTGTCAGATTCTGCTGTTTCTTCATCTACTGAATCATTGGAAGATGATTTTTCAGGGGCAGCTACAGAGGTCCGAAGTTTCTTTTTCAGTAAAGCTGGTTTTCTTCCTCTTCTTACAGACTTCCGTTTTGGAGCCTGTCTTGTTTGCTTTTCTGACTCAGCTGAAGAAGGAACACTTAAAGATGGATTACTGTTACCTGGGGCATCACACCCAGAATTATTTGATATTGGGGATCTCTGAGACTGACTGACTGTTTCAGCTCTTGTGTTACGTGTAGACCTCCTTGTAGGAGTTGTCATTGCAGGTTTTCGTCTTGATCCTCTGGTATTTGATGTACCAGAAGTTTGCTTCTTTTCTTCCCCTTCTTGAGTATGTGCTAATGCATATCCCTTGCAAGAAGTACCTAATAATATTTAAAAAAAAAAAAAAAAGTAAAAAATATGTGTTTTAAGAAACAGTAATTTGGCTTCAGCTAATTTTAGCATAAAATACTCTGCGACAGAGTGAAGCAAAATACTTAAAACTATTAATAAATGCACAGCTACTAATATCAGAGTAGTGTGAGGTATTCATCATCTTTCTTAATGACACTGAAATAAGTAACAACTAGATTTGGTTCAAGTGGGCAATTTTATAGGGAAAAAAAGGAAAATAATATTTGGTCTTATAACTGCTACCTGCTTAATGATTTTTTTTTTTTGAGACAGGGTCTCACTCTGTCACCCAGGCTAGAGTGCAATGGTGTGATCACTGGAGTGATCATGGCTCACTGCCGCCTCAACCTTCCAGGCTCAAGTGATCCTCCCACCTTAGCATCCCGAATAGCTGGGACTACAGGCATGCACTACCATGCCCAGGTAATTTTTGTATTTTTAATACAACAGGGTTTCGCCATGTTGCCCAAGCTGGTCTCAAACTTCTGAGTTTAAGTGATCTGCCTGCCTTGGCCTCCCAAAGTGCTGGGCATACAGGCGTGAGCTATTGCGCCTGGCCATGAACTGGTATTATCTAGGCAAAAGGTGAGAGAAAACTGTCAAGTTATCCATGAATTAACAAAGACTCAAACTATTTATTAATAATTAACAGATGTTACTTCTAAAGATCTATGGTTTGGACAGGAAAGCCCAAAACAGAAAGGAGACTTGTAATCAGTTCTTCAAAGCCTCCAAATTGTAATTTCTAAAAACTGTAGCACAGAGTTTCTAGTTAGAATATTTTTTAATTTTAAAACTGACAGATAAAACTTTATGTGTTCACTATGTACAACATGATGCTTTGAAGTACATATACATTGTGGAATGACTAAATCTAGCTACTTAATAAATGCACTACACCTCACATAGTTATAATTTAGTGAGAACAGTTTATACCCACTCTCTTGCAATTTTCAACAATACAATATAGTTGAACTTTTAACAACACAGGGATTAGAAGCACCAACCCCCCACACAGCCAAAAATTGGCATAGTTTTTACTCCCCCAAACTTAAATTTTCACCAGACTTCTTACTGATAACAGTGAATTAACATATTTTTAATGTTATATATGTTACATACTGTATTCTTACAATAAGCTAAAGAAGAGGTTGTTACCAAAGTCATAACAGAAAATACATTACAGTGCTGTACTGTATTTACCAATACCATAAGCTTATATCATTCGTTTGCAAGACGAATCATCTGTATGAAATGGCAGGCAACAGCAGCTATAGATCTCAATCTAAAGTTCCTATCAAGGAATTAAACAACTTCTTATAATGCCATGACTTTTCTGTGCCTCTTGGGAGCACTTCCTACATCACTAATGGCACTTTATGTGGGTCCCCAAGGTGTTACTCAAGGTTTACAGTATTGAGCACTAAACACTTTGAAAAATATGCAAGCACTGCAAGAGATCACATTTCACTGTCATATGCAATCTATTAGAAAGACAAACGCTTACGTGGAGATGACTACATTACACCACGTTTTGTGTTTTTTCTTTTTGTTTTTTTTTTTTTAGATGTAGTCTCACTCTGTCACCCAGGCTGGAGTGCTGTGGCGCAATCTCAGCTCACTGCAACCTCAGCCTACCAAGTAGCTGGTACTATAGGCGCGTACCACTACACCTGGTTAATTTTTTTGTGTTTTTAGTAGAGGCAGGGTTTCACCATCTTGGCCAGGCTGGTCTTGAACTCCTGACCTCGTGATCTATCCGCCTCAGCCTCCCAAAGTACCGGGATTACAGGTGTGTGAGCCACCACGCCCAGCCAGGTGTTTTTTTTTTTTCTTTTGAGACAGGCTCTTATTGTGTTGCAAAGGCTAGAGTGCAGTGGTGCAATCACGGCTCACTCGACCTCCCAGATATTCACAACACTTGAGTTCACCAGAATAGCAACAGGAGGTGGCCACAAAATTATTACAGTGGTAAATATGTGCTATAGTTAATTTTACGCAGTTATGATTTAATACTGTATCTTTATAGTTGTTTATATTTCTCATGACTTCAAATGGTGGCACCATGTAGTCTGAGTGTGTATATGTTTTGATAAATTTTAACTTTTTATCATAGATTTGTATATATTTTATGGTAGTAAATGATAAAATAGATTAGTACCTACATATATTTTATGCATTAATGACATACTTTTCTCTTAATTTTTCACTATAGGCTATGCAATTTGTGAGTTTTTTTTTTCAGTGTTGCAAATCTCCAAAAAAATTCAATATATTTATTTTTCAAAATTCACATATGAATGTCTCCACGCAGTTAAAACCTGTGTTGTTAATGGGTCAACTGTATTATTATAGTCATCACATTATACAATAGATCTTTAGAGCTTATTCTACTAGCTGAAATTTTGTATCCTTTGACAAACAACCTCCACCTCACAACTACACCACCCCCTAGTCTACAGTCTAGTCCTATGAGATCAACTTTTTTCGATTCCACACAGAAGTGAGATCATGTGGTATTTGTCTTACTGTGCCTTCCTTATTCACCCAGCATAATGCCCTCCAGATTGATCCATGTTGTCACAAACAACAGGATTTCCTTTTTTGTGTGTGTGGCAGAAAAATATTCCATTGTATATATATACTCTAGTTGAAGCATTTTGGTTTTTTTTGAGACAGAGTGTTGCTCTGTCACCATGCGCCAGGCTGGAGTGCAGTGGCGTGATCTCGACTCACTGCAACCCCTGCCTCCCGGGTTCAAACAATTCTCCTGCCTCAGCCTCCCGAGTAGCTGGGACTACAGGCGCATGCCACCACGCCCAGCTAATTTCTGTATTTTTTAGTAGAGATGGGGTTTCACCATGTTGGCCTGGATGGTGTCAATCTCTTGACCTTGTGATCCATCCACCTCGGCCTTCCAAAGCGGTGGGATTACAGGCCTGACCCACTGCGCCCAGCCAAAGCAATTTTAAAGTTAAGTCACTGTCCAAATATTTATAGAAGTTTACAAGTTACTATACCTTATTTCACAGCTTTTGTATGTAATCAAACACACATTTTTATGAAACTTGAAGAAACTAATAATAATTTTTAAAATAGAAAATGATTTCACAAACTTTACCAAAATTCTCTAAAGATATGGTACTCGTTGGAAAAATAGTTCTTGGCAACACAGAAGAAATGAGAGGAAGGACTTCTGTTTCAACATTCCAGGGTATAAAACCAATTCTGAAAACATAATAAAGACATTTTTGTTTAAATGGTTTAAAAAATTAAACCAGCAATTTAAAAGTATTAATTCTCTAAATCAGGTTAGCAATATTAAAATACAGTGCTTAAACATTTTTTGTCCAAATAACTAACAATGTAAATTCAAGGTTACTCCTTGTCTAAAAATAGCTACCAATTGGCTGCAACTCAGAATAAAAAACCTTTAAAAATACGTTTTTCTGATAAACTCATGGCAAAGAAAAGATGAAAGAAACTTAGACAGTTCTCTTTGAAATAATTTATGTAGTATTTTGTCAAGAATTTTTCTAGCTTTCATCATATTCTTCACTCCTCTAAAAAAAATCAACTTTGAGGTATAATTCAACATAAAATGCACAGATTTTAAGCGTATATTGTCTAACTTTTGACCAAAGTGTGTGCATATGTATATGTCTGTGTAAACGCCACTCCAATCAAGAAATAAAATATTTCTGTCCCTCCAGAAAGTGTCCTCACACTCCTTTGTATTCTTCTCCCTCCTTTCCAGGGAACCAAGGAACTGATTTATACCATTATGTTATATGCTAAAATTCCTTGACCTGGGGATGGCTCTTTAAAGGTCTCAGTGTCCCCTAGAGACCTGTCAAGACCCCTCCCCCTCAAATTTTCTGCACTGAAACCCAAACCACTTCTCAGCATTTTTTTTTTCTTATTCATTTAGATCTGCTAACAAAAGACTATCTGATTCAGTATAAGGTGAGATTCTGGAATAGAAGAGAAGCATGGAAAAAAACATGTAACATGTACATGTATAGAAATATGTAACTGTAAAGAAGGGTTTCATAGGACATACATCAGGACGTCTTCATTTGACTTCTATTATGTTCTGCCATCATTCCTAGAGGGTGAATGCCCTATACAGGACTATATAGTGACATATAAAATAAAGTCATAACATGTTACAGGAATTAATATAAAACTCAGGCAGTGAGCCTAATCTTTACTTAGGAGCTTCATTTAAATATGTATTACATATCTAGCCACCATCTTAGTAGCTTCAGAACTAAACTAAGAAAGAAAAAACTAGATTACAGAAAGTCATGAGTGTCAGAGTGGCACTTGATCAAATAGTTTAATAAATCTAGCATACACATAGCTATACTTGTTAAACAGATAAATTAAGAATTATTTACTTTCTAAGGGGTCCTTTATATAGCAATCTTTGTTGGGCATTTGAAACACCAAAGTTTAATTTGCACAAAACTTCCTTAGGAAAATAACAATTGAGTAAGGTACCCCTGTTTAGTACTAATGCCATCTTGTTCATGTAAGCATGTAAACACTAGAGTAAATAATTTGTTTATTTTTACCTTCCAATACCAGGTAATGTATCAGGAAACCATGACAATTCCAGATCCTGTCTCTTCTGCCTAATCAATGCACTGATTTCACTGACTTCTAGAAATTCTGTACTAAAAGACAAATTTTAGACATTCATCAGAATCTCACAATTTTAGGTTCAATGAAACAATTAGATCATACAAAAAAAAGCAGCTGTTTTTGTACCTAGCATTATGAATCACACGTACAAGAATGAGAGCTTTTTTCTATTTAAACACTTTTAAAATAAACTCAGTCCTAAGATAAGTAAAACTGGTGTACTGCAAATCAAAATTGTATTTGATTATTAAAAATAACCCTTGAATTTCCATATCGACAGATTTTTTTTAATAAAGTCAAGTCAGACTAATATCCTCATTATTGATAGAAAAAAATTCTAGATGCAATTGTTTCCCAGTTGAAACTAAGCCTAAAACAAAAGAAGAAAATAAAGGAGGGTATGATTACTGCAACCAAAAATGGGTATAGTACAGCCTTTCAAAAGCCTCCTCAGATATAATTATTTTTTTGTTACCTGGCCAAGCTCTAAAATTAAATCAAACAATCTTATTCTGTGTGGCTGGCTCAACTAAGTGTACATGATTTTAAAGCTTCAATTTAATCTTCAAATTCCATAAATATCTACTTAGTATCTACATGCCAGTCACTAGGATTCAACATGAGTGGATCAGCTCTAGAAGCATTCTGCTTGAGGTACCGTTCCCGCAATTTAATAAATAACCTGCTTCTTTAGCATATAGAAAGCTTACATACAACTACTTATTAATGAAAACAAAGAGCACTGGCATAATCATTGCACAACAGAGAAGCTCCCAAAATTAACAGGTTTTCTCTTGCATAGAGCTAGTTTACTTTCCAAAAAAAAAAAAAAAAAAAAAAAAAAAAAAAAAAAAAAAAAAAAAAACCAAAAAGCAACAACAACAAACCAAGGTGGGCCTTTCAGTTTTTATTGGGCCCAGAGTTTAAATTTCTAGCAAAAGTTAATTATAATCATTAAACATCAAGTATAAGCAGCATAAATTAAAAGTAGAAAATACTAACCAATAAGCTCTATAGGTAAAGGAAGATTCTCCAGGGTGACTAATAGAAGAAAACATATTGGAGAAAAAATTTCTGAAGCACTGATTTGTACTCCAATTTGATCTCTGAGGCTAGAAAAGTAAAAAGTAATTAGTGAAACAACAAATAAAAATATCTCTAATAGGTAAATAACAGTTATACTTAAATATTTTGATACACCCGAAGCACTGGTTATTTATGGGCTAAATAACACGTGTTATTATCTAAGAAAAAGATTTTTCTTGGTTTCAACAAACCTTATTTATCTTTATTGCTGCATTTTTCTTTCCACCTGTTTCACTGTATAAAGAGTTGCCTGTACAAAGACACAAAAGGACTTGGTTACCTTGTATTAATTTTTATTAAAAAGGCTGTAAACCAGCATTCATACTAGCACACTGGCAAGGGCTGAAATATGTAGAATAGCTGCATTTCAAATAATACACAATTTTTTGCACACTATTCCCAAATGCTGATTTCATCTTATCTTGTTAAGCTACCAATACAAGTAAAATACAAAAGGCCACAATAGAGAAAATTAGGTGAAGTATGCAAAACCTGCTTTCCTTACATGTGAGTTAAAATTCTACTCAACATTTTATGCTACCTTATGCAAACTTAAACTATCTTATAACATAAGGTATACACAAGAAGTCAAACTATTTAACATCAATAATCCACTTAACATTTCCAGCTATCATCTAGAAAACAGGTAGCTATCTCAAGCAGAGGCTGACTAGGGGACCTGGGGCCTTCAGCTCTTGTTAACCACAAATTACCATTTAGCCACTGGCACCCACTTTAAGTAAGTTATCTCCTTCAAATTTTATACTTAAAGGAAAAAGTGGAAGTGTTGACTGAAACAGCTTTCTGTTACAACAGTGTTGGTGGCTGCATTGTTTATGACTTGTCTACAGTGCATATGACAAATTTTCCACCTTGCTTGCCTCACAAAGGGCCTACTGAGATTGTTCGAAATAAATCACACTAAGTAGAGGCTTGTTCCCTGCACTGGAAGATCATATGTATTTTGGTTTACTTCTGTTAGTCCAGTTGGTAATAGCCTGCTTTCTACTTAATAGCATACTAATTTCCTTTTAAGTTATTACACAACATCTGTTTGGTTTTGCACAAGTCCCTGTCAGAACTACTATTAACAAATTCAATGTCGGTGGCAGGGGAACAGGCTGAGTTCCAGCACTTACTGCCTTACCCCTTTGATCTATATCTAAAAGATGGTAACACTGATTTTTAAAACTGCTTAAGAAGCAAGAAGTAAAAATATATGGTAGTTATACAAATACAGTCTTAGAAAGAACCATGTTCCTTCAGCTAGACATAGAATTGCCCCGTGCTATACCTACATAGTGTCTTTTATGCCCTAAGGATGCTGAGATGTTTTGTTTCAGGTTTCATTCACTCAACACTTAGTAAGTATGTAGTGTTCACATAGCATTCTTTCACTTGGAAGCCTATCTCAGAAAGCCATCATTAGATAAAATGCTCTCTACTGAAAGAACTGTTAGTTTTCTCTGGGCAAAGCTACATGTGAAAAGCCAGTCCAAAAGCTATTTCACGTATTTCTGGGTAATTCTCAGATAATTTCTGAGCAGCCTGAATGATAGTCTCTAAAGTATTCAATACTGGTGAATTTGTCTAAATTGTGGTTTCCTGAGGATCGTTTCACAAATCCACCCTACCTGTCTGTCTTTGGAGAGCAGTGATATTCCTTTTCATTTAATTTTTATCAAATTAATGCATGTACATACTTTAATAAATCAAACAGTACTTCCAATCTTCTAAAGAAAAATTGCAGAAATACTCACTCTTGATTTCTGTTTCCCCAAAGCACTCATTAAATCCTTTGGCTGTTTCTTCTAATATTTATTTCTTTATTTCTAAATAACATCCTTGTACTACTCTACCTTTATTTTCGGTTTCAGATATTTTCTTTTGTTTCTTTTTTTTGAAATGAAGTCTGGCCAGGTTGGAGTACAGTGGCACAATCTCAGCTCACTGCAACCTCTGCCTCCCAGGTTCAAGCAATTCTCTTGTCTTGGCCTCCCAAGTAGCTGGAACTACAGGCACACACCACTACGCCTAGCTAATTTTTGTATTTTTAGTAGAGATAGGGATGGTCAGGCTGGTCTTGAACTCCTGACCTTAGGTGATCCACCCATCTTGGCCTCCCAAAGTGCTGGGATTACAGGCGTGAGCCACCACACCTGGCCAGTTTCGGATATTTTCTGGTGATTTTCTTTTTCCACTATGGAAGATAAAGATTTTTCTTTTTATGCCATCCTGCCTTATCGTCTATCTTTACTCTGCCTATATTATCCTTTTTGATATACAAATATATCAACACGATGTAGCAGTGTTACATTATAATCATTTAAGCATTAATAACAGCTGAACCATATAATGAATTGTTACCTTTTTAATAGATTCTTGCTTTTCCTAGGGTTAATAATGGATTTGTTTTCTCTTTTCCTTTTCTTCCTGTATTATCCACCATTAATTTAGCTAACTACGACAAAAGTTATACTTAGATTTACAACAAAAAAAGTTATACTTAGATTTATAATCTAAGTTTAAGACACTCAAAAACAACAACTCATCCATAAAGCTTGTTCCCCACTCTCCTAGCAAAACTCTTTGTCCTGCTCCAATATGAACTGGTAACTCTCAAAGCTGCTGTTCAATCGTCATTCTGGGATTGTTCTCTGTCATTATCCTGATAATCCTCTTTTTCCTTTTTATCTTTTCCTGAGTTGGAACTCATTTTCTGAATCTCACATTGTTCTTCCAGTTACTATCTCATTTAGTGAAGTATACACATCCTCCAGCAGAAGGGGGAAAGAATGGGAATTAATTTTTGAATTCTTATGTATTAGAGAATATCATTATTCTTATTCTGAGTTAATATACGATGGACAGTTTGATAGGTTTTACAATTTTCTAGGTTAGTAATTATTTTTTCGAGAATTTTCAAGGCATTGCTCCACTGCTCCAACTATTGTTGATGACACTCTGTAACCCTATTCCTCTATGTGGTCTGTTTTTTTTTCTCTCTCTCTCTTGTCATCCTCAGACTTCTAGAACTTTATGAAGTACTTGCTATAATTATTTCCTCATTTACTAGGTATCATCTCCTTCACTTTTGGTCCTACTTTCTGAGACGTCTCAGCTTATCTTCTACTCCTGTTTATACATACACACACACACACACACACTATATATATATATGTAAAATATATATATGTATTTTTTTCTTTGAGATGGAGTCTCACTCTGTCACCCAGGCTGGAGTGCAGTGGCGCAATCTCGGCTCACTGCAACCTCTGCCTCCCGGTTCAAGCGATTCTCCCGCCACAGCTTCCTGAGTAGCTGGGGTTAGAGGTGCGCACCACCATGCGCAGCTCCTGTTTATATCTTTGCTGTAATATTTTTAATTTCTAAAAGCTTTCTTTTTTAAAATATTATTTTTCGCATATCATTGATAAAATATCCCTTCTTTCATGCTTTGAGGATATTAAGTTTTTTTAAGTTATTCCCTATTTTCCAGCATTGGGTCTGTCCCATCAGGTTCCTTTTATCTCTGTTTTGATCTCTATTATGTTGATTTCCCTCAAATATCTGGAGATCCTTGATTGTTTGCAGGATACTAAAATACTGATTGAAAATGGTATAGATGGTTGGACAGAGCCTTTCAGCTAATGTGTTTCACTGTAGGGTGATCAAGCAGACATCTGGTTATTTCACTGGGAGACTCTCAAATGGCATTATCTCTAAGTTTTTTCTTTTGGGCAAGTCAGTATTTCAAAAGATGTCCCTTATCTCCTACTTTGGAGAATTATAATAAGCAATACTGCTAGTGCTTTGAAAAATATCTTGGGTAGAGGACTAGAAGCCTCATCATTTGACTTAATTTCCCTCTCTGTTGTTTCCTGTATAATCATTTATGCTAAAATTTAAATCTCGTTCACGTACTCACTCTAGAGAGTAAATCTCCAGTCTTTCATTGGGTATACCACTTTCTCTACCCTGTTCAGCCAGGAATCTTCAGGATCTAAAAATTTTTAACCAATTCTGTTTTCTGAAACCATTCCGTATCTCTGCCTTCACAGATACTTGACATCTCCAAACTCAGCTTTCTAAGGTTCGATGGTATGTGAACTGTCTTGAGATTCCTAACTCCACTCTCCCCATGAAATGTTTATGTATCAGCTTTCTGCTAAGATAATTTACCATTCCTCTAATACTATTTTACTTCCTATTTTGTGGACACATCTTATGTGCTGTCCCCCTCTCTCCAGCTTTCTTGTCTGTGTGGCTTAAACTTTGTGGCTTAAAACTTTTTGGCCGGGCATGGTGGCTCACACCTGTAATCCCAGCACTTTGGGAGGCCAAAGTGGGCGGATTACCTGAGGTCAGGAGTTCGAGACCAGGCTGACCAACATGGTGAAACCCCGTATCTACTAAAAATACAAAAATTAGCTGGGTGTGGTGGCACGTGCCTGTAATCCCAGCTACTCAGGAGGCTGAGGCAGAAGAACCGCTTGAATCTGGGGGCGGAGGTTACAGCAAGCTGAGATTGTGCCACTGCACTCCAGCCTGGGCAACAAGAGTGAGGCTCCATCTCAAAAATAATCCCACTCTTTTCTTTTCATTCCTTTATTGCCATTTTAGTAGAGATTTGGGGTACGAGGGATCAAAGCATTAAACAAGTGATCAGTCTGCTATGCTTAACTAGAAGCTTGTCTTATTTAATTCAGCATATCCTCAAACATGTTTCATAAAACACTAATCCCAAAGGATGTTTCAATGAAAACATCCTTTTGTACAATACAAACCAGTATAATAAAGCCTCTGAGTTTAGAACCTACTACTGGCAGGCATCCAATTAAGGTCTGTTTAATTGATTCCAAAGTTTAATAAAGACATAATTAGATGGATCTATTATGAACTTAAAAGAAGTACTATATTAAGAAATGCCTGAAAGGGAGATCCTTTCTGTAAACTATATCAATTATAAACTACTATCCCAAACCAAAGATTAATGTTCATTCCAAGAAACAAAGTGAATATAAAGGAGATTAAAAACAAAAATGTGTAATTCAGTTATCTAGTATGACAGAAGAAAGAAAGTGATATTTCTTCAAGAAATTTGCCAATAGGTTTGCTGTCTAACCTTTCACAATACCTCTAGTGTGGCAACATCATCTTCATTATATGAGAAAACTAAACAGTTTATATAATTTTACTAAAGTTTCAGGTGTTTTAATGGTAAAAAACTGTAGAAAACTCGAGAGGCCT